CCGCTTCTTTCAGGTTATGTTTAAACTACTCTGTGATATAACCATCCAAGTCCAATTGAAGGTCACCTGAATTGCACACAGAAAGTGTATTTAATTCTTTCTCAAGGTGTAGTGAATGAACACCAAGCTTATTCATGGATAATGGAGATGTTAGAAATACAATTGCTAAAACTACAGAAGATCATTTTTGAGGTGAAATGAATTTCACTAAGTAAAAAAAAAATTGTACAATGACAAAAAGAATTCTGGTCACTTTTAACTGGAAGTCAATTTTGTGGGGATTAATGTGATTGTAAAATTTTATCATATTATATGTAGAGTGGACTTAAATGAACCTCTTTAGAAGTTTGGAGGGTAAAGGAATCCTGTTTGCTTGGTTTTTTTAAAGTATATAAAGAAAAGTGCACAACTCATAGAAGAGCTTGAGGAATTTTCTCCAACTGAACACACTGGTGTCCCAACATTAGGAATAAGCAACAGAGTATCAGTAGCACCTCCAGTCCCCATCCCAGTGACAGCTGCCCTCAAGGGATAACACACCCTGGTTTCCAACACCATAGATGAGTTTGGCTGTTTTGATACTTAATAAAAATGGAATCATACAGAATATACTCCTTTGTGGCTTAGTTCATCCAATGATACAATTGTGAGATTTATTCACATTGTTGCTTTGGTTGTGGCTCGTTCATTCTCATTGCTGTCCAGTATTCCATTAGGTAAATACACCACCTTTATACATTCTACTTGATGGGTATTTGGGTAGTTTCAGTTTTTGACTATGATGAACATACCAATAACTATATTAAGTATAAACACTAAAGTAAACGACTATTTCACATAAAAGATTAAAATTGTCAGAGCAGATAAAGAAACAAAATTCAGCTGAATGCAGCTTATAAGGAAGCTGGTGCAGCTATTCCAGTATGAAGCATAGTATGATGGCAAGAAGTATGACTATAGATAAAACGGAAAATTTCATAATTATAAGGGAATATATATATATTCTTTATCATAGGTGTATATGTGTATAAAACAATCCTAAAGTTCTGAGTATCCAGTGATATATCTTCAAAATAGGTAAAGCCAAAATTAACAGAATTAAAAAGAAAAACAGACAAATCCACAATTATAGCGGGCAATTTTAATATACCTCTCTTAGTTGATAGAGCTCGCATAAAACATATTGGTAAGAATACAGTCAATCTGAACAACACAGTGAACGAACTTGATGTAAGTGACTTACAGGGAACTACAATACAGCCCGGACAACACCATTATTTACATTCCTTTCTAGTATGTCTCAAACATTTACCAAAACTCACCATACACTGGGCATAAAGAAAGTGCAAACAAATTTCAAAGGACTGAAATAATTCAGATCATGTTCTGAAAGCACAGTAGATGTAAGCTAAAAATCAATTCATATTACTATTTCAATAGTTAACAAAAAGATAAGTAGAAAATCCCAAACTGCCTGAAAATTGAATACTACATTTCTAAATAATCCACTTTTATTTTTAAAATAACCACTTTTATCTTGTTTTTCGAAAAAAGCTACGAGCAAAATTAGAGCTCACATATAGCCTTTAGTCATTTTTCTACTTCCCTAAATTAATTGAGAAAAGAGACAATGGATCATTAACAGAAGCAACAGAGAAGGAGAAAACTGAGCAACCATGGATGCTAAGTCTTATCATGTGAAACAGTTCACACACCGTATTACCTCTTTGAGATGATACAAAAACTCTGTGTCATAGGCATCACTATCCTTATCCTACAAAGGGGAAAACTGAGGCCCACAGAGTTAAAGTTTCCAAAGTCATTCAACAAAGGAATGAGGGCTAAACTTAAAACCTATCCCACCTTAAAGGCCATGCCTACAGAAACACAGAAGGCTACAGCTTGGAGGGACTTGACGATTACTTGGAGGTAATTCAAACTCCTAACTTCTTCGATAAGGAATCTGAAGCTCAGAGACATCCAGAGATCTGCCAACCTTACAAAGTGGCCTGCAGGGACGTGACTCTGGTCTCCACGGAACTCAGGTTCTGCGGTCTTTGCGTAAATCACATCACCTACACAACTGCAGGTACATGTCAATGTAGACACACCCAGGGAAGCGCACAACCACAGGAAAATCTCTCTCTCTGCAGAACTGTTCCCCAACAAAAAATATCTTTTTTTTTTTTAATTTTTTCTTTATTGCAGTAACATTGGTTTATAACATTGTTAAAATATCTTATTTTAACATATAAATTTCCAAATGTTATCTCTACTAAAATTTAAAATACCCCAAATGACACTATTTACAGTCATTTTTGTTGCTGTTGCTTGATGTTTTCCTTCTAATGGTCTTTTAGATGTTTGGTAGACACGGCATAGCCAAGTCAGGATCAGAGTGATTTTGTCTGTTTTGGGGTAGTTTTAAATCAACCTTTTATTAAAAGAATTGCATAATATGCTTCACTGAATTTTGTTTACAAAATTCCCAACACATTAATAGTATAGATACCGGAGAAGGCAGCTGACAGTACCCTTCAGGACCAGGCATAAACCACTCTTAAGATTTTATATCACTGCCTGATATTTTACAGCACCGCCCATCAGGGATCCGTCAACTGTGGTGCCCATTTCCAGCACCAAGCAGTATGGAATGAAAAGCAGCAACAGCCTGATTCGACGTCTCACTTTATATGGAGGAAAGTTTGTTTCACACATCCTTAAATGTATTACAGACGATTCAGAATCAAAAGGTTAAAAAGTCAGTCAGTCTAAAAAACTTTATCTTTTTAAAGTTTTCTCTTAACCGAGCTAGGTTTATCAAAGCAAAACTATTACTGAAGAGCAATATTGCCATGCATAGAGAAGAATAAACAATTGACACCCCATTTGTACCACCTGGATTTCATTTGTGAAAATACTGAGGAATGCTGCTATGACTTAAGTAGAAAAAAGTTTCTAACATAATTATAAAAATACTAACAGAAAACCAGGATTATAAACACATGAGCATGACACACATACAAAAGGAAACGAGGATAATTTCTCTTAAAACTTTTGTATGCTAATGACATCTCAAAGTGCATCCCCAAGGAATGTGTGCAGCACCAGCGCAGCAACAGCGTAAGCAAGGCTGTCATCCTTTCCGCGCAGAAGGAGGAAAGGGATGCATTTCTATGGTCTTCAATTAGCCTCCTCCTCCTTTCTGTGGTGTTTACTTCATTTAAAAGTTAGAGATATTTTATTTTAGGGAAATAACTCATTTTTAATGTCTAATTGGAGCAACGGAAGGGAGAGACAGAAGATGTCAAGACTGCACCTTGAGAAGTAGGCGCGGCAATACTACCTTGGAAAATGGTCCTGTGCTGACAACAACCATCAGTCTAGACTGTTCTATTTGGTTGTTTCCTGAAGCACCTCCTTTCATAGGCAGTATTTCTGGCATCTGTATTGTCATGCATTCATATTAACGAAGAATCCATAGGTACTGATGACCAGAAGATATTTCAACTTGACTTTACCTGTTTTTGTGAACTAAACGTGATAAACTGTCGAGTTCAAAACATTTTCAGTAACAACCCCACCAAAATGCAAAGAGGATTGACCTCTGTTTTTCTTTTTCAAAAACACCCCTGGATACAACAGAGATTACTAAATAAGACATTCTACCATTACTTTAAAAAGTTGATCATATGAGCATAAACAGAGAAATCTGAAAGAACACATCAGCAGAAAACAATCTCATATGTAGACATTGTCAAATGCATTAAAAATATTATTCTAACTCAAATTACTCATCAAGTTCTGTTTTCTTTACTGTGATATTAGATGAGCAAATATTGTATATATATGTTGCAAATGAAGTCTTGCATTTGGGGTGGGATTTCCTCATGACTTTCAAACACTACTGTCACACCTCCAGCATCACCACCAACACTCACTCTCCCCTTTGCTCATACTAGACATAAAAGGTACTGTGCTAAGAACTTCATAGCCATCATCATTTTAAATTCTCCCAACGATCTTCTAAATAGATACTACTACATAGATTTACATATGAGAAATCTGAGGCATGAAGAGGTTAGTCTGCCTGAGGTCATAAGGTCAATAAGGGAAGAAGTGGAGTTTAACTGTAGACCTAACTGATCCCAAAGCATCTGCTTAAAACACCCCCTGTATCACCTGGCATGATTTACATATAGTACTGTGTGGGCTACATTTTGGAACTTTCTCTAAGTTTCCTTCAAGGTAAGTATTTCCTCAAATAGATCTCCACATCCATAATCCATCACTTTGTTGTTCTGCACAGTAAGAATTCAACACTCAAGGCGTGCTTGTATATTAAAGCAAAAGCTGGGCTACAGGAATAGATTTGCGTAAGCCTGCAATTGTTGCTATACTTCTGATTCTTCCAGAATCTGACTTCGAATCCAACCAGGATGGAATAATCTTGGCAGCCTCTGCCATCACCAACATGCCCCTAGAACCCGTGTGACAGGTTCTCCTGATCCTGGGAAATGAGTGGCACTATGTTACCCCATCCAAGTTGTTCTGCTCTCTCTCCTCAGTCACATCCTCTTCCTTTCCAAGTATTCACTGGACAACGGTGGTACAAAGGGATAGGGTATAACATTTTAAATCACAAACATTTTTTGAAAAAAATTAAAAGTTTTACCAATTAGTCAAAATATGAAGCTCAAACAACCATCATTTCAGTTCAACTGTGTCTTGAATATTTGCTATTATTAACTTTGTTGTCCTGGGATGATAGTTTTGTCATATTTGCTCTTGATAAAATACAGTTGAAAAGACCTGTTTTCATGGTTGAGTGGGATACGAACAGAATGTACTTTTTTATAAGTCTTGAAGCAGATACTATCACATACTTGACCACATTAAAACACATGATGGTAATGTACAAACAGCATTAAAACTAATGTGATGAATGAAATGAAATCCTCTTAAAAACCAAAAGTATTTTACCAGTTTTAGTTCCTTACCAGCATGCAAGTAAGCCAGGTCAGGGTTTTCGATGTCAGGATGCTGTTCTTTCAAGTGGTTGCGGAATTCCACAGGGACGTTGGTTCCATAGTCACACTTGGGGCAGTTGTACATCTTGACCCCCTCGTGTTTGCCAGTATGTAAAATGTGTTTGCGGATGTTTTCAGCACAGTTTGACCTACGAAGTAAGAAAGAAAAGTAAACCGAATTAAGGTCAAATCAATAACATCAGACCACAAATAATGATATTAGCTAACTCTTATGTGGGCCCTACTATGTGTCAAGTACTATTCTGAGTGTTGTACTCATATAATTAACTTGTATAATACATTAATCCTATGAGGCTGGTAGTTTTTTTAACCCTGGTGCTAATTCTTAAGTTGGCCTCTTAGCTTAGTGATTCACATCTATGCAGAAGGGATTCACTTTGCATTTTTATGCAAAATCCCAGGTTCTATGATTTTAATATCAAATTATTCTGGTACCACTTGAGGGCAGTGAAGGAGTTTCCTTAACCCCCAGAACACACCATTCCCCACTGAGGAGAGGTACAAAGGAAGCACCGTCACGTCCACTGAACAGAGGATTAAGGAAACAAAGAAGCTTTGGCTTTAAGTTCTGTCAAGTGAGCTGCTTATAAGTAAGGCTCTAACACAGTTTAAAGATAGAAACATAGCTAGAAACAGTCCTGCAACCCCATGTTTGGGCAATGTGTTAAGTGTCAGTGAGTATTCTGTGTTGGTGTAGGTTTTTAAGAATGATGGACTGAAAAATACAATAAGGTCTTTATCTTGTGCACCAAATCGCCTCTGAAAATAGGAGTAGGTTCCTCTCCCACTGTTTTCCTGCCAATTCAGAAATGCAAGGCCTGAAACGACAAGAAAACTGGGAAAAGGATGCTGCTCTGTGAGGCAAACTGTTCTGCCTGCTCCTTCATCCCTCTCAGCATCTTGGCATCAGAGACTACACAACTAGACCGTTGCTGAACACACACACACAGCTGTTTTTCTTTTGTCTTTGTCATTGTTAGAACAGTAATAAAAAGAGTTCTACAGAAATTTAAGCAGGTGATGGAGGGGGCGGTTAACTACAAAGAAACAAAAAATCAGGCTGGCCTCAGATTTTCTACAGAGCAAAATGAAATGCCGAAGAAAATCAAGCAATATAAACGTTTCCTGAAGGTATTGCTGAAGAACAAAATCCTGCAAGATGTCGAACAAAGAAAAGCTTCCATGACCAAATAAGGTTGGGAATGGTCGTTTTAAACAACTCACAAGGCACATTGGGTTATGAAAGGCTCTACGAAGAAACTTCATGTAGCTCTGCATTGCCTGAGCACTTCTAAGTGGAATGACATTTGTGTATAACATTCAACTGCATCATGATGTTTACTTTTCAGGGAACACACCCTGAGAAACACTGGTGAAGAATGCAAAAATGGTTATAACCTATCAATTTTATAGTAGCTATGTTATCACTCACACCTAAAGGCAACAAATGACATTAGAAATCCAGAGACTAAGTAAATACGTTATCTATTCACTCATGACAAGAGGAGTATGGAGAAGCATCATCTGAGCAAAGCAGAGCTCATAAAGATGGCACTATCAACAGCCTTCCACAACTGGAGGGGCCAGGGACGTCCTTTCCTATCGACGTGTGGATGAAGACGAAATGCAAGCACTTCCCTCACGAATGGATATCCTGCAGTCATGGGAGCAGTCCTATAACTGGATCCAAGACATCCCTTTGGAAAGGCTTCTGCTACCTCCCTCCCATCCCCAGGCAGGGCCTCTCATCATGCCATGTACATGCCCAACCGTATATGGTTAGAAAGAGTAAATCACACAAATCCTTCTATGACTAGACTAGAAAGAAACACATCAACATGCTAACGCAGCTATACAGCAATGCCCATTTCTCTTCATTTTCCAAATATAGTTCAATGATTTATCTATTAATATTTTTAAAAATTTTAAAATAACAGCAAATACTTTTAAAAAAAAGAAGAAGAACTGAACAACAGATTTTCTCAGCTATTTTCAGCTTGCCTTTGGCAAGGGCTCTGTCAAGCTTTGTGCTAAGTTTCTCTTAGAACTTAGACCAAATATATGTAAGACAGTTAGTGAACATACGCATACACAGCTTATCTCTTTCTTGTCACTACTGAATTACCAAACTTGCTTTTTATATAAATTCTCTGTTGTTAATTAATAATCATTGTAATAGGGGAAAAAATGAGTGAGAACGTAATGTGTTTTACGTGCCTGCCACTGGCCTCGCTGCTTTGAGGATATCACAGGACTCCCCGAGAAGGCGGGTAAGACAAAACCTGAATGTAAGGTTTCTGTTTTCAAGGCCGGTGTATTTTCAGGTACACCACAGCCCTCCTTCCTTACAGTATTTACATATCAAAGATACTGGTACATACTAAGACACCACATACTAAGAAAAGGGTGGGTTTGTAGAGTCTCTTAAATGTATAAATATCCTCGGAATAATAGCTCTGCATCATGTTGACAGAAGGAACATAGGAAAATATCTGAAGGTGGACAAATGATGAACTCATGTCCACTTTTGTGATAATTAAAAGGAAGAGCATCATTTTGTTAATTCCCCAACTAGCTGGGTGAACTGTTCCAAATTACTCCCTACTCTGCAGATCTCCCATCTGTTTTCCATGGCATCACAGACACCCCCTAAATTCACCATTGTTTACTGACATTGGGGAGTGAAAACAAAAAGCTACTACTGTACTTAATTAGTACTGTTTATTAGGACTATCGATTCTTCGGTACCACCTATATTATTTCCTCATGGAAAAAGCTAGGCATAAAGAGTCAGCAAAGACAATCACCGATCAAGGGAAGAAATTAAAATTACCAAGACATACACATTTCAATGTATGATGAATACTTAAATGCGGGACAATATAAGCAATGAATCCTAATCTTCAGAAGAAAGAGATGACTTCGAAAACAGAACGTCTTGTTTTCAAGAAGGGTGTATCTTGGACAAAAATCAAGTAATATCTCTTAGTACCTGAATAGTATGTAGAATCTAACAATCAGGAGACTATTACTGAAGCAAGTTAAGTGGAGGAGGCAGGATTAAAAAAGGTGAGAGGCTTCTTTTTACTTAAAAATGTAGACTAAAACAAGAAAGAAATGGTGTGCTATTTGATATTTTTAAAGGTATTAAGGACCACTTCATGCATATATATTTATATATACATATTTTTTATTTATCCTATGTATATACCATTTATATATTTTATGTATATAATACATCTACATATATATATTTATAATTTTATGTTTTATACACACACATAAACATTAAATACATGCAAACAAGTAGAAAAAATAGGCAATATCTGACTGTAATAAAAAATATATATTTAATATAGTTCATGGATAACAGTGTACATTTATGCTATCGTCTGCTGTTCTGCATCTAATGTCATGCAACATAAAACTTTTAAAAATATTGGAACAAAAAAGAGCCTTTCACACCTAAAAAATCAAACTATTCCAATCCAAGCCTAAGAAGTCAAAACTATAACATATTATGTCAGTATCATTTAAAGCAGAATAATAAGTAGGGGCAAACTTTAGTCCCTACACTTGAGAATATTACGCAACATACAGCTGAATATGTGGTAATGTCACAAAATTCAGTGAACAATAAATAGACCAGACACTTTCTGCTAAGTAATTCTGAATGATTTTCAACTTGAAAATTATATTTTTCCCAAACACAGAACTTATGAATAGTAATTAGAATGGTAAACTGAAGTGGGACTAATCAAGAACAGGTTGTTCAGGCGAAGTAAGGATATTCTAAGATATTATTTCACACAGGGTCACATCTAGATCTCCAGGAAATAACAGCAGTTAAGCCAACTGGGCATAAAATAATTAGTAGTGAGTGACTGAATAATGTCTTCAGTTTGACATTGATTTTTAAGGTAAAGAGCTTATTTTTGTCCCATGTTCACAGATTGGAAGACAATATTATTAAGATGACAATACTCCCCAAATTGATGCACAGATTCAATGCAATCTCTATCAAAATCACACCTGGATTTTTTACAGAAATTGAAATGTTGACCTTAAAGTTTATATAGAAATGCATGGGACCTAGAAGAACCGATACAATCTTAAAAAAGAACTAAGTCGGAGGACTCACACTTTCCGATTTCAGAATTAATTATGAAGCAATAGTAATCAAGACAGTGTAGCACAAGAAGAATGGTAGATATAGACACTCTCAGTGTGGGAAATGGGGGCACTGTTCGATGGGAAGCTAGATGCCTCAGCACAACGCTGCACAGGACCAGAGACTCAAGCAGGACTTGCTGGAGCCATAGCCTGCATGCACTGTGTTTATGGGAAAGGCATTCTAAGTCATGGGGAAGTTTCAAATTAAATTTGGAATATAACATGTTGAAAATCTTGAGGCAGCTTACAGTAAACATATATATATATATACATATATATATATGTATATATATACATATACACACACACACATAAAACAAGGGCTTAACGAGTAGCAAAAGGACCTGAGATGGCAGCTGACTAATTTTAGGGCTTCTTAAAAAAAATAAGTAATAAAGGAAATATTTTATTCAGTTCAAAGGCAATGTATTTTAAAATAATGAACAGACCACAACAAGTGCTTCTAGAACTCCACAAAATTATCTGTAAGTACCACACACTAACTCACTGCCTATTAACACAAAAAGCACAAGTTAAATTTATGTTATTAAACATAAGGAGAAGGAAGCTTTAAAAAAAATTCTACTGAATACTTTTTTTCCTCTTTTGATGTATGTTATTTTGGTTATTTAAAAAAAGACACCACTGGGGCCGGCCCCGTGGCATAGTGGTTAAGTGCGTGCGCTTGGCTGCTGGAGGCCCGGGTTCGGATCCTGGGCGTGCACAGAGGCACCGCTTGTCACCCCATGCTGTGGTGGGGTCCCATATAAAGTAAAGGAAGATGGGCACAGATGTTAGCCCAGGGCCAGTCTTCCTCAGCAAAAAGAGGAGGATCAGCATGGATGTTAGCTCAGAGCTGATCTTACCAAAAAAAAATAAATAATAAAAGACACAACTGAAGTTGCTGAACAAACATACATTCACATATTTTAAACATCGAAAAGTCTAACAAGGC